GCTTGGCTTTCAGCCATCAAGGTTTTGGTGTCTTGTTATTAAAGGACATTCCATTTAAGCTTGTCTCGGCATTCATTAATTGACGGAGGAGGGGGTCAGAACAGTAGATTATCAAGGTTCATTGCTAACTGGAAAACCTTTATGGACTTTTTATGTGAAAGAGGGAAAAAAATGAACTTATCATAGAAAAGAATATATGTAGCTCGGGAGTTGAATTGTGGAGTCCTTGATGGTCTCCGAGCATCTTTTTTTTCTTCCTTCCTTCCTTTCCTTTCCCCCTCTCTCTTTTCTTCCTTCCTTCCTTCCTTTCCTTTCCTTTCTCCCTCCCTCTCTCTTTCCTTCCTTCCTTCCTTCCTTCTATATTTCATTAGCTTCAGACCCTGTTACTCTATCTGAAGATGTAACCTCTTCAGGTAAGAAAACATCTACAAGAAAAAAAACAAGCTGAGAGAACACCAAAGACTCCATAAAAATGAACGTATTGATGTTTTGATGATTAGGTAGAATAGATTAGGGAAGAAACGGGAGAGAAGAAACACAGACATGTAGGAGAAAGAGATATTTTTATAATTGTACTTTAAAAAGATCAGAAGCACTTCTTTGTATCTTTCCATTTTTTTTCTTTTCCTATCTTGCAACTTCTCTTTGATTTTCTTTCTTTCTTTCTTATTTTATATTAGTTTGTATTAGTTTTTAATCTTCCTTGTTAAAACTGCTAATAAAATTATAGAATATAAAGGCTTTTACTGATTTCTCTGCAGAGAGCTAGATTTGGGCAACACGCAGTGCAAACAGAAAAAGAAAAGGAAAGAAATTTGGCTAAGAAGCATCTACAAGAAAAAGTCTTTGTAATTTACGCTGATTTGTCTGTTTGGAGTATAGAATGAGGAAGCATTTAGCCCTAATGTCAATTCTTTTTTTTTTTTCCTTTTTAATGTGAGCAAATCAATTCTGCTTTACTGCTATCTGCTGAAGGGTTCTATACTCCATGCAATTACATTTGAATACTCTTGTATATAACACCGCGTAGCCGACAATCAAGCAGAAATGCACTCAGCAGGGCCTTTTACAATCATGGCTGCTCTATCAGACCACATTTGATTATGCCACGTCATACTACGGTCTATTGGGGGGACATTTGGTGCAGAGAAATATCCCCAGCTGTATTACTGCATGTCCTAGTTCGACAGCTTGTAACTTTCTTTGAGCTCATGCGCTGAAGAGTTAAATCTTTCTATTCTCCCCCTGGCTGAAAAGAAGAATTGACTATGCCTTAAATAATAAATCGTAGAAAAGGCCCAGCTCTAATCAGCAAGTCTTCAGAACTTAACAAGATTTTAAAAGAACTGCCAGAGGGACATGCTTAGCGGATGCCACATCTAAATGTGGATAAATATTCACCACCTTGACTGGCGAGCCATTGTCAATTACTCTCAGGAGCTGCTCGCCGGAGGGCTCCACCATCATCCCGTTTCCAGACAGGTTTATTCTATTCTCCTCAACAGGGGTTTACATTGTGCTGAATAAGCTTGTTTTGCTTTATTTTGGGTGATGCGCAAATCTATCCACCGTAGCTTGAAACCATAGTTTATAACTTATCATTTTACAGGTAACGATGGTTTGTTCAACAAAAACTGGTTTAGCATGGTGCACAGAGGCTTTCAGACACGATACTGGCATTGAACACAGTATAGTAGTTCAAAAGTATAGTATTAGAGTTTGAGAGTTTGAGAGTTTATTAACATTTATAGGCCGCCCTTTTCCCTGAGGGGACTCAGGGCGGCTTACATAAAATCAGG